AATCCCTTATTTATGTTGAAGAGTTGAAAGGTTGTATGGATCACTATATATATGGTTGAAAGCTTAATGAAATGACATGGTTGTTGTGCCCTACATTTGGTGTTCTTCTTCTTCTTCTTCTTCTTCTTCTTCTTCTTCTTCTTCTTCTTCTTCTTTCTCCCTTTACTTCGTTATATATACACGCATATACATACATATGAACCTTCGGGCAATTACCATGCAATCATCCCGCGAGAACTAACGAGTTCATAGGCCGAATTAGAACAAAAACCATACAAACAATGTCAAAGAATTTTGCAATTTGTAAAGTTCGATACAATCAATTAATTTCATAAAATTGTACACACAACACACTTATAGCTCAACTTTTTTTGGTCGAGAGTACTCCTGGAGCCGGATCGTTATGCTGTGCATCCGTGTGCACCATGCATGGTACATACAGATGCAAAAAACGACGTCGTTTTGACTAAAAACGCGCGTCCCACTTAAAAAAAATTAGTTTTAATTCCCCTCAACAGCATTATGTTGTTCATTCATTCTAGATTTTTAGTTCATAGATTCTGGATTTTTAGTTTATTGATTCTGGATTTTTAGTTCATTGATTTTGGATTTTTAGTTCGTTCATTGATTCTGGATTTTTATTTCGTTCTTTGATTCTGGATTTTTAGTTCATTCATTGATTCTGGATTTTTAGTTCGTTCATTCTGGATTTTTAGTTCGTTCATTCTGGATTTTTAGTTCGTTCATTGATTCTGGATTTTTAGTTCGTTCATTGATTCTGGATTTTTAGTTCATTGATTCTGGATATTTAAACGTAAATCGAAACTGATTTTTTTCATTCATGCTGGATATTTAGTTCATTCATTATGGATATTTAGTTCATTCATTAGCATTTTTAGTTCATTCATTCTTTATTTTTAGTTCATTAATTCTGTATTTTTAGTTCATAGATTCTGGGTTTTTAGTTCATTGATTATGAATTTTTAGTTCATTGATTCTGGATTTTTAGTTCATTGTTTCTGGATATATAATTCAAATTATGCACAACATAATTTTGTTGCTGAGAATCGAAATTAGATTTTTGTTTAAAAGTGGGACGCACGTTTTTAATAAAACAACGTCGTTTTTGTATCCGTATGCACCATACATGGATGCGGATTCACAACATAATTTGCCCCTGGAGCCTGGGCACGTTACAAGAAGATGAGACGAAGAACTTTATTATATTGTTGAGACGACTTAAGTGCAATGCTTACAAAACGTTAAAAACTCATAACTTAGAACAAATGTAAAGTATTGATATTTAACTATCCAACCTTTTAACCAAGACTATGTGGTCTAATGATACCCGAGTTAGACTTTTCTATTTGGAAGATTGTGAGTTCGAGCCTCAGTGAAGGCGAAGGCGTTATTGATTTTTTGTGTTTCAATAGGTTGAAAAAGTATATAAACAGATATTACATTGTAATCGAACCAATGGCATTCAAAAAACTACCCAACCTTTAAACAACTAATTAATTAATTAATGAAAATACTAGGGGCATGTAGGAGTGTCAATAAGTCTCAACGTTAGTTTTGTCTTTAGGTGTCTCCCCTCCGTATGAAAAAAAAAACCTAGTCTATTGTTATCCTACCCGGTGGTAATTAAAACTTGTGTAACAGACTCGATCAAGAAAGTGTTGGCAAAAGTTAAATTTGTAGCCTTCTAAATATAAAAATCACATGATGGGACAACTCAGTCAAGTTGGTTGGATAATTGACTTAGTAACTACAAAATTTCAAGTTGAATTAACTTTTTGTGAAAGATGTCTATTGATATTCTTGATTTGAACCGGTCAACTGTGGGTAACCTAGACAAGTATACCCCTTTATGGTCCTTTGTCAGCAAACGTTACAAGGCAAACTTTACTCAAAGCACGCTTTCAAATAGCGGTACTTTTTCGTAAATCAAATATAATTTAACAGATTGGAGGGATGTTATTACTATAATTATCTTTACATATTTATTCCTATAATTAATATTCCCATAAATAATGAGACTTTCCTAACAATAATAAACTCAATTTAATGACATGATTAGATTAGAACTAATAACACTTTGACCAACCACAATGATACATATATCTGGAGTATTATATGCAATGTCTAAAATAATGCCAAATTCTATGCATAAAAAAACATACCATTGTGTATAACAAATGCCACATAACGAATATTCCTAAGGTTAGTCTCCCATTGTCACCTTTAAATGCAGACAAACACAACTTGTTAAATTAACTTCTTAATTATAAATCATTTCAACTAGATGTATAATACTAAATCAACGAAAAATGTGTAAATCCAATTGTCAGAAAATAAAAAGTGATACATGTTAAGGCCGCGTGTAGGCGATTTATGATGGACTCGTTATATGTTGAGATAATAAGTCTTGAAGTCGAAAGTAATTCTCTAGTTGCCAACTTGCCATCATATCGCAAGAATATAAATAAAACGACAATAGTCAATAGGTCAGAGCAGGGGAGTTGATTGCCACTTGCTTGATGCGATTAGAAAGATTATTCGTTAATATTAGATTTGTAGCATCTAATATAGCCAGTAAATACGATCTCTACTATAACATAGGGTACGTGCGGAGATCCTTTTCTAGTATACTTTTGGTTTAAGAGTTTATGCTCGGTAAATGATGTGAGATCAGAGGTTCCCGAACTTACTAAAGTTGTATAAAAGTTGCGAAAAGTCCTTCACCCTGTATTTAATGCGGTGTTTATAGGAGTAGCGAGGGGGTACATGCCGGTCTCTCGGCATGTGCAACACGTGGAATGCATGCATTGGGTGAGGTCAGGGCCTTAGCTAATCTCTCCACACATTTAGAGATACCTGATTTCAATGGTCCCACCGCTCTTGGATTTAGCTGAGGGGACTTTGCTCGAGTCTCTAAGTTCCACAAGTCAGATGCTCGTCTCGACCTAATATGGTAGGGGCGGAGTAACGAGTACTAGGCCCCACTGGCCAGTGAAAACTCCACTCAGTGGTTTAGGTCGGGGCAAGAGCGCAAAGCGGTCAGTCATGCTCGAGTCCGGCTCTACTCCGTAGGTGGACCTGGTAGTCCGGTACCGACCAGGTGTACTGTGTATGCTACAAGTACGTCGGGGATAATCTCTATCAATATTGGTACTTTGGATGTCATTATATTATGATTAATTGTCTTAATCCCTATCAATATTGGTGCTTTGGATGTCATTATATTAGGATCAATTGTCTTAACTTTTTATCTTTCTATTTTTAAAACCTTTATTCCTATAGAACAGTACAAACTTCACACTACTACCAAACATGCAAAATAATTTCATCACCAAAACCCATTACCATTACTAAGTATTTGATTCCCATTCTCATTCCGATTCCCTTGTGCACCAATCACACCCTAAGTATTCTAATAACAAAGACTTCTATTCTCTTATATTTGTGCAGTAGTCCGTGCCACGTTTTGAATTGAATCAAATTTATTATCACGCTAAAATTCATAAACTAATAGATTTGAGGGAATTGTCTTCAAACATATCTTCCGGGAATGAAATTTCTGCGCTGATTTTCTGGTTAATTTAGCTCAAAAAAAAGATTGGGGCATCCACTTGGGTGTTCACTGAATCAATGGATCGGATGGTTTGGCTCCCCTTCTAGCTCGTGATGCGGAAGGAGCTCTCATTAAAAGAATTAGATAACTCTGAGGCTTTATTAGCCTCTTTTTATTCACCAAAAAGAAAAATACTTGTATAAGATCAAATTAGTGATGCTTTTTTTTATGACAGGTTATTAAAACTTTTCCACGGAGCTTCTGCCCAATACCCTGTGTATATAAACCCATCCACAAATACATACCAGTGGCATTTATTGTACTGTTCTATAGGAATAATACTTAGCAAGCTAGGCATCTCCAATCCATGTGCATCCAAATTAACCACTAGTAACCTCTAGAGAATTCAAACATTAAAATAAATATTATGATTTTTTTTTTCTTTTTAAATTTCTCTAGCTTTGGGTTGACTGACATCAGTAGGTGATTTTCAGGCATCCATAATGCCAATTAAAAATGTCAAAAGACTTTTGTATTATGCTAATGCCAGTCATACATTGCCTGCTACCTATTACCAAAGTAATATAATGCCACTATATATATATATATATATATATATATATATATATATATATATGTTACTTATTATCAAATTACATTTATAATGTTATGGTCAAGCATTTACCACTATACCAAAAGGTATAATATTAGAGTCAGACATTTAACACTACGCCAAAAGTTATAGCTAATTAATATTGAAGATGTAACTTTATTTTTTTTTTTTTTATATTTGCTTAGCAATCAGCAAAGACGCAACTTTATTTCACTATACATGTGTAGCAATCAGCGCCAACAGTTGACCAACAATCCCCCTCCTAGCATCTGTTCTACCAATTGTCATGATTAAGCACTTACAACTGTGCCAAAAAGTATAACTAGTAGCGAATGCTCAACTTTATTTCTTTTAACATGCGTAATAGTCAGTGCCAACCGTCGCCCAAGAATGCCCAACTCCTCTCCAAATACCTGCCCAATCCTCTCCTAGCACCTGGTCTAACCGTTGTTAGGATCAAGAGTTCACTACTATGTCAAAATGTATACCTAGTAGCGAAAACACAATTTTATTTTCTTATACTTGCGTAACAGTTCCAATGGTAGGATGCTTGACTCAGCCCACTAAGCTACCGCGCGCCCAACAATATCATATATGTTACCTATTATCAAAATATATATATTATAGACTATAGTCATGTTGTTAGTTTATTTAAAAAATATATATATTCGGTCCACATATATGTATGCATCCAAAGAGAAGATACTGTAAATGCCAACCAAAAGATGCCATTTTTTGGACTAGGTAAGGTCCTTTTCTTTAAAACCCTTGTGCTAGAAGTCATGACTAAATCCAAAATCGAACATTATCTTCTTGTGTTTAGGCACTGAAAATCACAAGAAATTCATTTCTATTTCAGGGAGAGGGAGATAAAGGGGAGAGGTAAAATGGGCACTAAGAACTATGCATTACTTCAAGTAAGTTGCAACATACACAAACCTTCAATAACCCCTATGAAACTTGATAATCTAAGAGCTTTGTTGTCATCATCGTCTTCTTCTCAAGTCAAGGTAAATTACACTACATACATACAATTCCTTCTCATCTTACTTTCTGCAGTTTGAAATAATCTTCATCTGCCTCCGTGCATGTAGAAATCATTTGAATTTAAAGATATATATCCCGTCCAGTATTGTAAAAATTGGTCTAGGCGGCCGCCTAAGCCAAGGAGATTTAAGCCTTAGGCGACTTTTAGTTGGCTGGCCGACTAGGAGTCTAGAGCTGGGCATCTAGATTCTCTTCTATATTCATCCAATCATGTACTCAACTAACCATCTAACATATGTAGTTGACTAGTTTATGGGATTATAATAATCTAACAACTCACAACCCTGAGAAATGATATACTCGAATTACTCAACCACCTAGCTAGGCGCTAGACGTCCCCTGGGCGCCTGATTAGTGACTAGCGCATTTTGTAACATTGATCGCATCTCACTAAATTTAAACTATAGGGTGACATATTAAACAAGAGTTCAACTATTTCAACTTAAGAGTTTAATAAACTGATAATGATTGAAATTGCACGTACATTTATATTTTGTATATTATATGCTCAACAATTTGTATCTGATGGTTGTAGCCATTGTCAAAGGAGTTGGAGCGCATTACAACCTTGGTAAAGCATGTTCCAACTATGATTAAGAAGACTTGTGTGGGAGTGTTAGAGGCTTTTGTGGACTCAACTTTTGAATTTGTAGACCAACCATTACTCCCCTCGCAGGTTGTCTCTAACTCTCCTCGTATTGATTGGCTTTTGTGTCTCGGACACCAACATTATTGCCATATTCATATTGTATTACATACATTTTAAGATTAGTAATTTCATATTTAGGAAAATTAAAGTTATAAAACTAACTGAGGTATCATATTTTTTGTGTGTTTTAAACGAAAAAAAAAAAAAAAAAAAAAAAAAAGAGTAATTTTTGTCCGGTGGAAGAGATCGGAGAAGCTGTTGGGGTGACTACTATCGAAGGGAAAATTCCTGAGGATTTCCCCATTGGAGTTTACGTAAGAAATGGTAATTACAAATTAAAGTCACCTTCAACCTTTGTTTTTTACTTTTATTTCTCACTTCTAAATGGCATATATCTCTCTCAAGAATACATATAAATGGAACATGAAAGATAATGCTTTAATTTGCAGGCCCAAACCCTCTATTTGGGGGATTAAAGTCGACGAAATCTATGTTTGGGAAGTCAAGCCACGTTTGGATAGAAGGAGAAGGAATGCTTCATGGTTTGTACTTGGTCAAAGATAGACGGACTGCTGCCTGGAACATTTCGTACAAAAACAAACACGTCCAAACAGATACTTTCAACCTGGAAAAAGTTCGAAAGAAACCAGGTTTTCTTCCCGCAATTGAAGGTGACTCTCTTGCTGTTGTGCTCGCTTACCTTTTAAATATGGTAAGATTTTCAATTTGCAAATGAAACACTATTGTTTTAATTTCGAGGTAACAGATGAATATAACTCAATTACAATTATTATAGTTGATAAAAACCTATTAAGTATAATTTAATAATTAACAGTTTGTATTGACTGTTTAAAAAAAAAAAAAAAAAAAAAACAGTTTGTATTGATTTCCTAACTTTTACATCACCAGAAACTCAAACTGACCAATTTGACAGTCTTTATTGATCCTTTTACGTGGTTATCAAGTAAAACTGTCGAAATGGGACAATCCGGGCATGGGCCAATCAAAATACAGGTGAGGTTGAATTGGCCACTTTTTTTTTTTTTTTTTTTTTTTTTTTTTTTTTTTTTTTTTTTAATGAAAGGTGAATTGGCCACTTTTAAACATGTATTTTGAGTAGCCCAACTCACTCAGGGATGAGGACTTGTTATTGCCTTAGTTCTGTGGACCACAAATAAAAAAATATTATTTGGGTACATAAAATACATTATTTAAATACTGAAAGTACATTATTTCTTGAGAACACCTCCCCTTATAAAAAAAAAAAATATATAAACACATCCACACAATTCATCTTGAAAAATCAAAGACTAAGATCTTACCATTAATAAATTTTCAAGTTTGTCATAATTAAAATGAATCCCACTCTTAAAGGGTTTAAAAAGTTATAAAATTGACCTCGTATATATATATTTTTTTTGAATAAGGGTCAAATAGGGCATTGAACTGCACACGATAATACAACTAGGCCACTGAACCTAAAAGACCAACAATTGGGTCCCTAAACTAAATAATTTCAAACAATTCTTTCAATTTGAACTTTTCAACAGGTCATCCTCCCAAATTAATTATTTTTTAAAAAATAAAATTTAAAAATTAATTATTTAAATTATAAATAAAAAATGGACTCCAGCCGAGACGAAGAAACTTTCTTCGTCTCCGGTTGTGGAGACGAAGAAACCAGCTGGAGACGAAGAAGGTTTCTTCATCTCTGAGCGGAGTCCTTTTTTTTTTTTAATTTAAATATTAATTTTTAAAATTTATTTTTTTAAAAATAATTAATTTGGGATGATGACCTGTTACTTGTTAGAAACTTTCAAATTGGAAGAATTGTTTTAAATTGGTTAGTTTAGGGACCCAATTGTTGATTATTTTTTTTTTTAGGTTCAGTGGCCTAATTGCATTATCGTGTGCAGTTCGATGGCCTATTTGGCTCTTATTATTTATTTTTTTTACTAAATCTCTCAATAATTAATGAATAATGATTGACGGTTGAGACTAATTCTTACTTTTTATAGAAGACCATGTTCTTATTTGATCTTGCCTCTATATATATTTGTGTGTGTGTGTTATACTAAACAATGAATTTCTTAATATAGCAACTTTTAAATGGTTTTGCAATTGCAGTTGAGATTTGGCGAAGTGAACAAGTATCTAAGCAATACCAATGTTTTTGAGCATTCAAACAAGTATTACTCAATTGCAGAGAACCACTTGCCCCAAGAGATAGACATCTTTTCTCTTGAAACGCTGCGTAATTGGAACCTAAATGGATCTTGGGATCGACCTTTCACTAGCCATCCAAAGGTATAGTACTTTCCAACCCCCACTTTTTGTTTTCTTAATATATATATATATATATATATATATATATATATATATATATATATATATATATATATATATATATATATTTTAATTTGAAAACAATAAACTCATATGTTTATGTCATGCTTCCATAAAACACGTGCATAGATGACATTATTGTCTCAAGATTGAACATTTATCATTATATCAAACGTTTTAGTTAATAGTGAAAGTGAAATTATATATATAATCAATCGTTATGCAAAAACAACGTCGTTTTGACGTCTAACTTAAAGATAAAAAATCAGAATTGCATAAATACACATCCATAATTTCATCATATCCATAATTTCATAACTATACATCCAGAATTACATAACTACACATCTATAATTTCATAACTATAAATCCAGAATTGCATAACTACACATTCATAACTTCATAACTATACATCCAGTATTGCATAACTACGCATTCATAACTTCATAACTATAAATCCAGAATTGCATAACTACACATCTATAACTTCATAACTACACATCTAGAATTGCATAACTATACATCCAGAATTTCATAACTAAAAATTCAGAATGAATGAACTAAAAAATGAATAACATAATGTGTTGTTGCTGGGAATCGAAACTGATTTTTTTTTTTAATAGGATGCGTGTTTTGATGCAAAACGACATCATTTTTGCAGCCGTATGCACCATGCACCATGCACCATGCATGATGCATACGGATGCACAACATAATTTGCCATATATAATAGTCCCCTCTTAGTTAGCACTACATTTTAATAACAGGCTCCATATATAAAATGAGTTTAAAAAGATATAGTTTCAACAAGTGTAATCTTGACTAAGATATTGTAGTCCGTCTATATATATAAATAATACTCTTCTTCTGTCTCTTTTTAATTACCTATCACATTTTCTTTTTTTAGTACTACTGACTCTGTTACAATGTAGTATCTGTCCATACATACTTTCTCAACTTACTGAAGGACAAATAAACTTTTTCTTTTTTTTTTTTTTTTTTTTTTTTTTTTGCTTATTATCGATCTTTATTACTCTTATAATTTTGTAAAATTTTGATTTTTTTATTTAATAGTACTTGTGATTTCTAAATATATAATATAAGCTTCATCCATTAAAACTAAACTAAATATTACAAAAGAAAAAAATTGTAAATAATTTAAATAAAACAACTCTAGAGATCATGATATGTTTAACCAGAAGTGTAGGTTGATTGACTTGTAAATTTACGCAGAAAGCCCCTGGCACTGGAGAATTAGTTGTAATGGGGATTGAGCCAAAGAAACCCTACTTTATGCTTGGAATAATTTCAGGTACATTATTTCTTTAATTTTTTTAAAAAACATATATTCCGTAAAACATATGTGTTTACAGCTTAAAAGTATTTATACATTTTTGTAGAAAAAAAAAAAAAAAAGGAAAACAGAAAATGTATTTATTTGTGCATTTTTTTTTCAATTTGAAAACAAAGGACTGAGAAAAGAAAAATTAGAAAGTTAAAATAAATGTAATATGTTTCAAAGAGTGATGCTATATTCCCTTCTTGATTTTGCTTCCTTACGTGGCAATATATGATTTTTTTTTTTTTTTGATTAAAAAAGTATATTCATTTTTTAATGTAGTATGAAGTTGATCAATTCACGGTAGCCTAAAATAAAAAAAAGTTTTATTAGTGTGGTAGGATGTTAACAGTAGCAGGTAAAATCGGAGGAAAATAATATTGTTCTTCTTTAAAAGCTCTAATGTAATTTTTTTTTAATATACTTATTCTCAGCTGATGGAAAGAAAATAATGCACAAAGCAGACCTCAGATTCAACAGATGTAGTCTTTGTCATGAAATAGGTGTTACACAAAGGTATCTTGTTTATTTTATTTTATTTTTTTCCTAGTTAGTTAGACAAAGTCATTTGATGTGTAACATAATCATATAATATGAAATTCAATAAAGATTTTTTTTTAAATATATAATATATAAATATAAATGTACCGTCCAACCATAAGCTTAGACATATATATACAAGGGATTCAACCTTTTGGGAGGAGATTTATATATATACAATTAATTTGCAGGTACAATGTGATCATGGATTTCCCGCTAACATTGAACATAATGCGACTCATTAGGGGAGGCCCGTGAGTACTTCTACATATATATTTTTTAATGCACAATATATTTAACACCACGTACACACAAACAACTACAATAACTAAATAAAAAAAGAAAACAAAGAAATTTTTAATTAAAAAATAATTAACTGAGATTAATTTTGTGAAATATTAAGGGAAAATTGTATTTTTGTCCTCCTGTTATACCCGTGGTACAGACTTAGTCACTGAGTTATATGTGTGACCATCTTTTAACTCCTAAGTTATGCATGGAGTGACGATTTTAGTCCTGGAAGGATCAAATTAGCCACTTTATTAAGTGATAAATTGGTGGTAGAAATAGTCCCCGAATGACTAAAATTGACACTTCGTGCATAATGAAACTTAAGGGTTAAAGATGGTCACGCACTCACGCATATAACTTAAGTTTGTGCCACGGATATAACTGAATGACCAAAAGTGCAATTTTTATTAATTAATGTTGTTGTAAGCAGATTAATAAAGTATGAGAAGGAGGGATATGCGAGAATAGGAGTAATGCCACGCTATGGTGATGCTGATTCAATCCGATGGTTTGAAGTGGAACCATGCTGTGTGTTTCACGTCATAAACTCCTTTGAACATAATGACGAGGTACAATATTGTTAATGTCTTTTTAGTTTGGTCTTATTTTTCTTTAATTAATTTTGTGATAAAGGCACAATGCCACAACATAAAGGTGGGGTTGGTTGACACACTAAAATTATGAGATTTGACATTTATCCCGAATAAATTTTTTGTGAGGTTTCTAGGATGAGAATATAATTGTGTTGTATTCAATGATAATGTCTGAGAGTACAGGGAGCGAATATATAGAGATGCTAGATAGAATCCTAGTCTAACACGAATAATATAGTCCTAGTCTAATATGGATAATAGAGTCCTAATAGTGCTAATACTCCCCCTCAAGCACAAGGTTGGTCAGCCAAAACATTGAGCTTGCAACGAAGTAAATTAAAACGTACAGACCAGGACTATGTGGTCCAATGGTACCCGGGTTGGACTTCCATTAGGAAGGTTGTGAGTTCAAGCCTCAGTGGAGGCGTTATTAGCTCTTTGTGTTTCAGTAGGTTGAGAAAGTATATGAACAGATACTACAATGTAATAGAGCTAGTAGCATTCAAAAAAAAAAAAATTAAAAGAAAGAGACTTAGTAAAAATATCCGCTATCTGATCTTTGGTAGAAATAAAATTGACTTGTAATTCCTTCTTCGCGACTTTATCACGAACAAGACTTAGTAAAAATATCCGCTATCTGATCTTTGGTAGAAATAAAATTGACTTGTAATTCCTTCTTCGCGACTTTATCACGAACAAAGTGGTAGTCGATCTCAATGTGCTTGGTGCGAGCATGAAACACCGGATTAGCACACAGATAAGTAGCTCCCAGATTGTCACACCAAAGTTTGGGCACAGAAGGTGGCGCAAACCCGATTTCCTTCATTAGAGAGACGAGCCAAGTAACCTCTGCAGAGACATCAGTCAGTCCTTTGTATTCAGCCTCAGTTGATGAACGAGCCACAGTACGTTGTTTTCGACAAACCCATGAGACAAGATTGGTCCCAAAAAATACAGCAAAACCACTAGTAGATTTGCGATCATCAGGATTGCCAGCCCAATCCGAATCAGAATATGCATGAATATCTAGAGAAGGAGAAGACGTAATCTTAAGACCAAGATGTAGTGTCTCATTTACATACTGTAACACCCTCTTGAGAGCCGCCCAATCCGCAGTAGAGGGAGAGTGCATGTGTTGACACAAACGATTGACTGCATAGGAAAGATCAGGCCGAGTTACCATAAGATATTGCAGAGCACCTGCAAAGCTGCGATACTGAGTGGGATCAGCGTATGGCATCACGACATCAGTCTCGGCCTTCGTGGTTGAAACCGGAATAGCCACGGGCTTGCAATCAACCATACCTGCTCGTTTTAGAATATCCTTCATGTACCGTTGTTGATACAGAAGCATGCCATCAGACAACGAAATGGTCTCAATACCCAGAAAAAACGAGGGCACACCCATATCACGAACTTTAAACTCAAGAGCCAACTTGTCAATAAAAGCAGTCACATGAGCCGGATCAGATCCCATAACCAAAATATCATCCACATAAACCAGAAAATATAGACGAGTATTGCTATGTGAATATATAAATAGAGAGACATCCGTCTTGGAAGGTGAGAAACCAGCAGAAACCAGAAAATCATGCAAACGAGTGAACAAGCACGGGGAGCTTGCTTAAGCCCATATAAAGAACGTTGAAGGAGACAAACGTGCACGGGCATCGTTTTGTCTTCATAACCAGGGGGCTGGCGCATATAAACCGTCTCAGCGAGATTGCCATTTAGAAAAGCATTGTGTATGTCCAACTGTCGAATAGTCTATCCACGAGAAATAGCTAAGGATAAAAGAAGATGTACCGTAGTCGGTTTAACAACGGGACTAAAGGTCTCAAAGAAATCCTCGCCGGCAATTTGATTGAATCCATTGGCAACTAACCGAGCCTTGTAACGCTCAATCGAACCATTAGCCTTTCTCTTGGTTCTAAACACCCATTTACATCCAACTACATTCATACCTGATTTAAAGGGAACAAGCCTCCATGTATTATTGTGCACCAAGGCATTAAATTCCAAATCCATTGCATCCCGCCATTCAGGAAATTTAACCGCTTGAGTAAAACATGTAGGTTCAGGAGTAACAGCAGCAGGCCAGCAGCAGATAAAGCAACATGATCATGTGGTCCCGAACTTCTCGTATTCATTCCATGAGAGCGAACGGGTGAGGGCACGTGACAAGACCGACCACGAGGCCGGCCTCTTGGCCTAGGAGCCGGCTGGTCCGTGACTGTCCGCTCAGACTCGGTCACGGGCTCGGCAGTAGCATGCTGCTGGCAGTGGTGGTCAGAAGTGGCTATGGGCGCGGCAGGAGGGTCACGAGCCGTGACAATAGTCGGATCACCACCAGAAACAATTGGTGCAACACCCCACAGCTCCGGGCGTGGTTTTAGAACCTTCGAATCCACAGAAGCAACAAAAGGAAACACAGCCTCATCGAATCGCACATGGCGACATATAAAAACCTTGTTAGTGTTAGTGTCTAAACAACGATAGCCACGAAAAGATGGAGGATATCCTAGAAAGACATAAGGGGATGACCGAAATTGTAGTTTGTTGCGATTATAGGGACGCAGATTTGGAAAGCATAAACACCCAAAAACACACAGATATGAATAAGATGGAGGAGACCGATGCAAAAGATAATGAGGAGATTTATCATATAAGACAGGAGTGGCATTTTATTGATTATATAAACCGCAGTTTCAAAAGCATAATCCCAAAAACGAGACGGAACAGAGGATTGGGCCATTAATGCTAGTCCCGTTTCAACAACATGCCTATGCTTACGTTCTACCCTGCCATTTTTTTCATGAGTATACGCACATGATTGCTTGTGACGAATACCTAAGGACGCAAGAGTGGAACCAAGCTTTTTATATTCTCCACCTAAATCAGATTGAAAAGAAATAATCTTGCGAGAAAAGGAATGTTCAACTAGTGACTGAAACTTATCAAATATAGCATACAAATCAGATTTAGCATGCATGTGATAATACCACATATAACGAGTGTAATCATCCAAAAACAACACAAAATATTTAAAGCCAGACGCAGGGCCCCAAAGATCTGAATAAATTAATTCCAAAGGATGCGTACTAGTAGTTTTGACACGAGACAAAGGAAAACGAGAAGATTTTCCTAATTGACAAGAGGAACAGACATTGGGAAGATCACTAGAATTAAATGTACCAACAGACGAAGACGCTAAAATTTTACGTAAGACTCGAGAATGAGGATGCCCCAACCGCATGTGCCAAACGTAAGAGGATCGTGCAGCAACAAATGCAGCAGGGGAAGCAGAAGACGAAGGCCATGTGTAGAGACTCCCAGACACATGTCCCTTAAAAAGAACCTTCTTGGTCAAAATGTCTTTCACATAGAAACAAAGAGGGTGGAACTCAAAGAAAACATTATTGTCCTTTGCAAAACGCTGGACAGATAATAGAGAAGAAGAGAGACCAGGGACATGCAAAACATTATGTAACTTAAAAGACATAAAATCAGTGGCTAACGAAGCAGAACCAACATTAACAATAGGCAAACATGTACCATTGCCGACTCGCAGAGTCTCCGGGCCATCATAACTTGTCATAGAAGTCATCAAAGAAGAATCAGGCGTTGCATGATTTGTAGCACCAGTGTCAGGGAACCACTGATGAGGACCGTTGGAATCACCATTATCACCAGAGACGGCCACATTAGCCTGAAAACCCGGAGCCCCTGAATAACGCTGAAAACAGTTGACTCCCGTGTGACCAAAACGGTTACAAATTTGACACGAATCATCATAGCGCCAAAAACAATTGGCTCCCGTGTGACCAAAACGGTCAGAAATTTGACACGGATCATCATAGCGCCAAACACAATTGGCTCCCGTGTGGCCGAAACCTTCACAAATTTGACACGGATCATCAACGTCACGTCGTTGACCGGACCGCTTCTAATATGATGTATCTTGGTTTGATGCCATCGGCTACTGCTACGAAGTGAGGAACATGAATGTTGAAAAAGAAAACTCTGGCTAACTGATACCAGATGAGAATATAATTGTGTTGTATTCAATGATAATGTCTGAGAGTACAGGGAGCGAATATATAGAGATGCTAGATAGAATCCTAGTCTAACACAAATAATATAGTCCTAGCCTAATATGGATAATAGAGTCCTAATAGTCCTAATATCTAGCTTAGTCCTGTTGTTTATAAGTTGTTAGTCATTTATTGAATTGTTACATTAGTCACTTAATTTATTGTAATCGATCATCAATTACGGGGGAAAGGGGAGGGCGGCATGCTATCTAATCATTCCAATCCCTTGTGTATTCATAGTTTTTTTTTTCGACCACTAGAAGTGGTCAAAATTCTAAGATTTTTGATAAAAAAAATTACTTTTTTGGCCATCTTGAAAATTTAAAAAACAGTGATTGAAATTTCTAATCACTAAAATGGTTAGAAATAAGATTTTTTTTTATTTTTTTTTGTCCACAGGTATTGATTTTTTTATTTATTTTTTCTTTGTTTTTTTTTTGTTTTTTTTTTTGTTTTTTTTTTTGTGACCACCTAGAATAGAGGTCAAAAAGATAAGAAATTTTCTTCAATTTTGTCAAATTTTTAAGGTGGTGGGAAATAGGTAGCAACTTCTTGTTGGAAAATTTGACTCAGAAAGTCCATTTAAAGGGGTTATTTTGTAATATAATTTTTTAGTGGTGTTTACTCCTAATTTTAGTTGAGTATTTGGGTTCTCTTACGTGAAATGCTTAATTTCATTGAGTACATGCCAAAAAAAAAAAAAAGAATGGATGAAAAATTGATTATTAAAGTATATTCATTCGAGTTAAGAAAAAAATGGAGTTGGAAGGCTTGTATGGAACATTAGTCCCATATTGAAAAAAAGGGATGTGCGTGTGTGTAAGTAGGAGTGTAAACGATGAGAATATAGATTGTGTTGTATTCAATTATAATGTCTGAGAG